TGAGATAGTTGAGCTGCTTTGTCCTAATTGAGATGTGCTGAAAGTATGAAACACACAGCGGAATTTGAGGCCCGATGGGAAAAAAGAATGCTAAGTATATCATTAGTAACTTTCAGATTGATTACATAATTAATGGTAATATTTAGGATATAATGGGCTGAACCAATAGCATTTAATTGATTCTTTTTATTTTTTCAAATGAGACTACTAGAAAATTGTAATTACATCTGGGGCTCACATTGTATTTTGGTTGGTGGGACAGTGCCAGGCCCGTGCTGTATTGCTCTGCCTCAATCTGCACGAGAGGATGGCTAAAAAGGGCCACATGGCTAACCCAAGCTCCCATACCAAACGAATGGTGGGTCTGTGCTCAGGCTCAAATCCACATGTCACAGGCCATGGGTCTTAGCATAGGAGAGAACACTAGACCAACACTAATTCTTTTTTTATATAAAAATTTGTTTAACTTTTTAAAAAATATATTTTACATCAGTCTTTCTTTTTTGTACAATGTATGCTTTCTTTTCTGTCCATAAAATCCCCACCACCAATTCACCCATGTGCCATCACCATAGTCCCTTGTGTGAAAGTATATTTCCTCCCATTTTGATCCATCTCCTTCCACCTCCCCTGCTGAGTGTCTCTGATTAATAATTATCTATTGATTTTGTTTTTAAAATTATTATAACTGTTCCCCCCCCCCGGTCCCTTATTTGATTCCCCTACATTCTTTGTATAAATGAAACCATCTGATATTTTTCTTTTTCCTTCTTCCTTCTGGCGTATTTCACTGAGCCTAATCCCTTCCAGTCATCCACGTTGCTGCAAATAACATGTCTATTTTTCTGAGTGCCGAATAGTATTTCATTGTGTTTATATACCACATTTTCTTGACCCATTCATCTATTTTTGGGTATTTGGATTGTTTTCATATCTGGCCTATTGTAAACAGTGCTGCAATAAACATAGGGATGCATGTGTCCTTTTGAATTAACATGTTTGTGCCCTTTGGGTAAATTCCTGAGTGAAATTGCTGGGTCATATGGAAATTCCATGGCTAGTAGTCTGAGGAACCTCTATATAGCTTTCCACAGTGGTTGCACCACTTTGCATTCCCACCAGCAGGGTAGGAGAGTTCCTTTTTCTCCACATCCTCATCAACAGTTGTTGTTTCCTGATTTTCTTAACATGTGCCATTCTCACTGGCATAAGGTGGTATCTCATTGTGGTTTTGATTTGCATTTCCCTGATTACAAGCCAACACTAATTCTTAAAGGCAGGAGCTGCTGGTTGAAGAGTTTTACTGAGTTTCTCTCAAAACATGCTTATAACATCATGAGTTTAGTGGTATTATTTTCAAATTGCATATTTCTTAAAATGTAAAACTGGGATGTAACTCACTGGAAGAGAGAATAAAGTACCACTCACTGAGTGACTCTGCTACCTTCAATTTGGAAAGAAGACATTTTAACTTGAAATTTTTGCCTTGGTAACATCCACAGGTGACAGAACTGGAAGCATTAGTGGCTCCTCTTTTCTTGGTTGCTTTACCTGATGTTTCCAGAAACTTAAGGCTGTGTGACCCCTTGGGGGGTGCACACGTGATTCCATGTTTTCTTGTTGCTTGCAGGTTTGGTTGTCTGGCCAAGGCCTGCTCCACAGGTAATAGTCAGTATTACTTAGACCTTTACTCATTGATCTCTTTCCCACCTGAGCTCTGATAAAGATAGCAAGCCTGCCATGTGGAAGAAGGTTGCAGATTTCCCGGTTTTATGATTACTCTCTAAAGACAACTGTAGGCAGGACCCCCTTGTCTAATGGAGGTAAAACAGCAACATCCCCACTGCCTACTTGTGCATAGCGAATACCTCTTTCTCTTACGTTACTCACAGGGTTCGCCATTATTCTGCCCCAGTGCAAGATCAGACATTGCTCCTTGAGGTTTGCAAAAGCATAAAATAGCCACAGTTAGAAAATGACAGAATCTCTTTCCTCTCGTGAGGTATTACCACCACAGGCTAGAAATGGTGCTCAGGCTGTGTGGCTGCAGGGCTGAGCTAATGAACAGTTCGCGGATGAAGTTATCATTGCACTTTCCCTCCTTCCTGTGACTTCTGTTCCTGGTTCAGAAACAGAAATAACAAGTTTTCTCCAAAAAGGTATATCTATCCTGAAGCACTCAGCTCTTTGAACATTTAACTTCATCCTCCAAAGCACTGCAGAAAACAATGGCTGTATACCCGGACCTGAACCTGCAGATCCCATTGGCAATGACCGTCAATTGCAGATGGATCACCACCAGCAAGTACTTTTTGCATTTGACTTCCAAATATGGGAATGGCTGTGCAACTGTGAGTCATTCAATCTTTTCAAATTAAATTCCTTCCAAGATATATTTCACTAATACAATGGAAGGACACTGTGTGTCCCTGACAGTGGGACTTTTGTTGAGGAGGAGATAAAGAGACAGGCACCAAGTGGCCTCTTTTTCTTCCTATTCATCATGTCCACTATGTATCAAAAATGATGCTCAAATTTGCTACACATTACAATGCAACTGCAGCTTCTCTTTTCAATGAAATTGACTTGCAACCCCCCCCCACCCCGAGTTCCAGAATCAGACATACCCTAAAGAGGATGTGTGTTCTTTGCTGTAGATCAGGGAGTCTAAACTTCACCTACCTTCAGGATCCTAACAGTTAATATAAAAGTGTGAAGTGGTCCACTACACGTTATTAGGGAATGAAAGATTATAGTAACCCAGAGCTTTCAACTTGACTTAGAAGAATGCAAATATTATAGTTATAAAATCACACACACACTGCACTGGTCACAGGAAAGCATGTCAGCTTTGCATTCCCACTGAAAAGCAACCAGTATGTGACCTTGCCTTTAAATCAAGTCATTAAATCTCCTTTGTAGAGTTTGAATCAGAGATTCCAAGGTGGGGTGGGAGGGGAGGCGGAGGGATTTCCTTTTTTAGATCCCTCGTGATTCTGCTATACTGCTAGCCTTTTTGGTTCAGAATAATCAAATTCAACAGTAAACACCTCTCACATAAGTGTGTTGGTGTCAGGGCGTGCTCATCCCCACTTACATTCATGCAGTGTTTTCCCACCTGGCACTGTAATCGCTGTGAGTTGCAGACGGACCCAGGGCACGTTGATAGAAATCCAGTGTGATCTGTGAAGGAATCAGACTGTCTCTGATTTTACAGATGTCTGGAGACAAAGCCTGCCTACCTGCTGAATTTCAAGTACTTCCAGCCTCCCTCTGTGTCCTATTTTGATCACACTGCTTTCCCCCTGGGCTGGAGGAGGGAGGAAAGAGGGCGCCTTCAGCAGTTGCCAAAGCACTCATTCCTGCCTGCCTGTCTTAGGCCGTTATTCTGGTTTAGGAAAGGCAGACTATCTTTAATTTGCTAATTTTGCCTGAAAGCTGTCAACAGAGGCTGAGGATGATTTGATTCTTTTAGATTTGTTTTTTAATTAGCATATTTTCCTTTCCTTCCCCTTTTCCCCCACCTCAAGAATTTATAGAGCAATCCAGGATGAAACTTAGTTAAGCAGTGTTAGTGACTCAAACTTCCAATAGTTGTGGGAGGTGACTGTGATAAAACCAAGCAGATTAAAGGGAGTGTGAGCCCCAGTTCAAATCTAGACAAAAATACAACTTCAGGCAGATACACTTTCAGTGTTATTTACTCTAAGTTTTCAATGGCCTGCTGACTGCTATTCTCCACCCCCTTCTTCCTTAGCTACAGAATAATGGGACTTCCAAATTTTAGTTCGTCTCATGGTCTCAAAGCAAAAGAAGAAATATTTCAAGCTTTCCTAGCATTCAGTTAGGTGTAGAAATGTGACTGAATTTTGGATGGCAAGTTATAAGAGGAAGCAACACGTGTAATTTCTTGAAAGTGCCTTTAGAGGATAAATTCTTCTTTCCTCTCCATCACCTGCAAAGTTTTGTATGTGGAAAGATGAGTTTTTATCTGGAGGGAAGGCCATAGCTGCCATCAGAATTTAAAAACAAAACCAAAGAAATGAGCTACAGAAAATAAAAATATCTTTGGCTAAAATGACACTTACAATCAGTTGTGATGGGAAGCCCAAGGGGATTATAACTAACATGGAAAAAGGCACAAAATGATGTAAAAATAAATTATTTTATTATTAAAAATAATTGGTTGTTGGTTTGTAACAGGATGACTCCCAGGAAAAGGGAGGGTGGGCAGGGAAGGAAGGAGGGAAGGAGCTGAGCAGGGAAGAGAAGAATCTGCAGAGGAGACTGAGGGAGGAAGGAAGCAGGAAGGAGAGCCAGAAGGAGACCTGGAGGAGGCACATGGAGCAGAGACATGTGAAGAGGTGACTCTTGTTTCTTGGTCCTGTACTGGTTGAAAGAGATGTGGGTGAGGGACCCATAGGGAGGTTAACTGTGGCAGTGTTTGTCTTGATTTTGCTCTTTTCCTCCCAGACCTGTCTAGCCATTTCTGACCCTTTTCTATGAACCTTCGCTGGAAGGTGCTTTAGACTTGTGCCTGGCTTTCAGGCCTTGTTTTGGGTCAATCCCTTTTGGGTGGACTTTTACCCACGAGGGAACGTTAACTTCAGGTGTTTGATTTAGAAACTATATTCTTTGTCTTTTCTATATTGCACACTAATTGTTTTAAAGTTCCTTTCCATTTAAGATCTTATGTTTTATCTTGATGTGGCAGATGGCAGAACCTATTTAGAGCAGGTAGGTTTGGAGGTTCAGGGTGATCCTCTCCCTGCCCTGTAATAGGTTGGGAGTAAGAGAAAGAATAAGATCTACTTGGATAATTTAACTATAGAATTACATATATAGATTTATCATATTTAGCTTTGTATATATTTTTGTATTTAAAGTATTTTTTAAAGCTTAACTTTCTCTCTGTGGTTTCAAGGAGAAACCTTAATCCTTAATTCCAACAGAAGCAGCAACCAAACAGGCCAATTATCAAATATGTTTGAATAAACATATAAACTGAAGCAATGCTTTATTGTGAAGACAAAGCACCAATTCAACAAGGCATTGACACACAGAGATTGAACAAATGTCTCTTTGAACAGAGATGTAATGAGCCCACTTTTTCAAGTTCTTAAAAACAAGTACTCAAACCAGGAATCAAACAAAGCATTGGAGCAATTAAAAAAATATTACACCATCATGAAGGAATATATATAAAAATATTCTGTAACAAGTTTTTTGATTTATAATTTTGGCAAATTTCTTCAGAAACAAATTATTTTAAATACAAACCATAAGGTAAAGAAATGCTTTCTTCAGAAACAAACAAACAAAAACAATTATAAAGCAAATCTATGCAGAAAATACCATTACCCTTGTGAAAGCTAGCAGAACATGGATGGATATCCCAATACACTACAGTTTCTCTTTGGAGAGCTACCTTTCTGCTCCTGAAGGGGCATGGTGGACGTTCACTTCAAACATTGCAGCATATCCCAGTGAAACCTTAATAAGGTCAAGTGAAGGACCCTCTATAAAAAAGGGTGTCGGCAATTCCATCCAAATATAAGCACTAAGGAGCAGAGGAATTCAAGGGAGACAGCAATCCCTTTCTCTATTTCCCCCTCCCCACGTTTTCCTGTTTTAAATTTTCCTATGTCCTGTAACCGAAAGATGTTCATTTCATCCGATGCTTTTTCGAAAGATGCTGGGCAATCTCTGAAGGCACGAAGCAAATCTTCATGACTTCAAAGCCTTTCTGGGGATGGGTGTCTAATCATGTCAAAGACCATTCTATTAGACAAATCCCACAAGGAAAACCATCCCGTCCACCTGCTGTCCTTGCTCCTCCTGGCTGAAGGTAGGTCAGCCGACGCATTGCCTAGTCTATCCAATAGGATAACGTTTCATTTGGTTGAAATTCTTTACATATACACATGTATGTATTCTGTTACCAAGTTTCATCACATGAAACTAAATTATGTCATTATGTAGATTTTGAGGTCTAAGACCCCAATTTGTACTATGAAGAGTTGTTCTTTAAATGCTTAGTCTGTAGAGGTTTTACGTGATACTCGTAGATTTTCAAAGCAGGCCCCAACTTTAACTGAAGTCCTGTCAATACATCATTTCTTGTCATCAAAAGCAGAGATTTTCCATCAATTTCCTATAATGAAAGCAGAGGGTAAAGCCAACGTGTTAAGTCCAAAAGTTCAAGGATAATGAAAAAAAAAAAGGAAATTCAAAGGGAAAAGTCCTATTGTCCCCAAGCTAAGAACATTTTTTCAATTGTGCCAAGTGAGAAAAATGGGAGCCTACCATATTCATATTCCCTCTTCTACTTTTATTTGTGAATGAAATACAATTCCTGGCTGGATCTTATTTGCAAGATCACATCACAAATGTCACAGCTTTGAAAACTGATAGCAAGTTTGGTGTGAACCAAGCTTGGATGTTGCCTGTCTAAGGAGTAATGAATGATGGCTTCCATTTACAAAATACATAAAAGTTGGCCCTCCCTGGTGGTGCAGCGGGTTAAAGCACAGCACTAACAAGTTAAAGCTTCTTCTGCATGAGTTTTATCCCTGCCTGCTCCGGAGGTGACCACATGGTGCGACAGACCTCTCCTGACCCTCCCGCTGCTCCCCTCAGCAGTGTACTTCGTCGATCTGCCTGTTCTGCTCTCCACTCTGTCTCTGGTGAAGCCTCTCACTGCCCCTGAGCCTCTGGCCTGTACCCCAGTTCTGTATGCATAAATAAATAAATCTTTAATATATATATGTGTGTGTGTGTGTGTGTGTGTATGTATGTTTATACAGAATTTTTTAAAAATATATTTTGCTTTTTGACCCTTTTTTTTTTAAGGATTTATTTATTTATGCATACAGAACTGGGGGATAGGCCAGAGGTGCAGGGGTGGTGAGAGGCTTCACCAGAGACAGAGTGGGGAACAGAACAGGCAGATGGACGAAGTACACTGTTGAGGGGAGCAGCGGATGGGTCAGGAGAGGTTCTGCTGCACCATGTGGGTCACCTCCAGGGTGGGGATGGAACTCATGTTGAAGTGGCTTTAGCTTCTTAGTGCTGTGCTTTAACCCGCTGCACAACCAGGGAGGGCCCTACAGAATTTTTGTGTACTGAATTCCCAAAACAACTCTATAAGGTATAGCAGATAGGCATTATCTTTTACAAACAAACCAAGAAGCAAACCTTGTTGAAGATTAAGAATTTAGAACGTGATGGCATGGGATGAATTCTCATTTGCCTATTGGCAAAGCACATTCTCTTCTTAATGCCCTTCTGTTTCTCTTGAAACTTAAAACTTGCAAGCTGACCACAGATCTACCACAGGGGAGGGGGAGGGAAGGTCAAAACAGGGAGCACAAGAGGACTGTGTGATCAATCATGGGTGTTACGGTGGTGGGAGAGCTATGGGGACAGAACAAATATTAACTCTGATGTGTAAAAAAAAAAAAAAAAGCATACACCCATTATCCAGATCAATGGGGACTAGAGTCTTGGGTTTTCTGCAGTCTTATCAGTCACAATGAGCAGTAGGAAAATGATCTATCCTCTGTGAACTTCCTTTTTATCTCAACCTGAAAACTACCCTCTCATGCTGAGGTCCCCCCTATTTTCCCATTAAGGGATCTCCAAGATTCCAAATAAAGTGGTGAGGGGCGGACTTCACACCACACATTTCCTCCCCTGATCTGCTCAGAGTCCACTCCCCAAACCTTGAGGTACCCAAGTAGATTCTCTTCATTTCAGGTATGCTGGAGACTGCAAAGCTTAGACTGCAAAGCTTAGACTGCAAAGCTCTGCGGTGAACTAAAAACAGCTCTGGTGAGAGGGATGAGGATCCCAATTATAGGCAATGGTTTGGACCTTTTGGAATAGAAGCACTGAGAAGAATGCTGAATGCCACCTTGTTTTTGTTACTGTTCATTGTGGTGACAAGCTGTATAGTGTAAGGTAGGAGATGGACCAATGATGCATATTTGTTAACCCTAAACATAGCTCTTCATGATTCTATGCACAGATGTCTGTGTCTGCCTCCCCTATGACAGGTGAGGGGTGCAAGTGCACAGTGTGTAGGTGCAACTCCATAAAACTCTGACTCCCCCTTACTCCATTCCCAAGAGGTCCATTTCTCCAAAATCTCTCATGTATTTGGTGTTGCTGAGACTGTGAAAAATATGTGCCCTGGAATGTTCAAGTGTGTGGGAGGAAGCATTGGGCTAGATGACTGAAAGCGCACTCGTCCCCTTCGTGACCTTAGGTAAGTCACTTCCTTCACTTCCTTTTATAGCTCTTTAGTTGGTAATGCAAGGATTTGGGGTTGTGAAAGGAGCCCAAGAGATACTACTCTTGCAAATGCTCCCCAGGCTACAAGTTACACAGTTGCTTGTCTTTATTCCTCAACAATACCATGGTTCTCATTTTACTGGGCAACCACATAATACAAACCAGAGCCAAAGGACAAAGAAGTACTTCCAGCTAGTCTACTGTGGTTTTGAGTTTTAGAAACTTTTATTTTGTTGCCTACTAGATATCCAACTGTCTCACATTAATTTGCCAGAGAAAACTATAAAAACTATCGCAGGGCCCTCCCTGGTGGCACAACAGGTTAAAACACAGCATGTGAAGTTGTCCACAGCCACTGCAACACAAGTTCAATCCCTGGCCAGGGAGGTGACCCACACGGCGCAGCAGACCTCTCCTGTCTTGCTCACTGCTCCCCTCAGCAGTGATTTTTTTTTTTTTAAAGATTTATTTATTTATTCATTCATACAGAGCTGGGGTATAGGCTAGAGGTGCAGGAGTAGTGAGAGGATTCACCAGAAACAGAGTGGGGAGCAGAACAGGCAGACTGACGAAGTACACTGCTGAGGTAGCAGCGGGCAGGTCAGGAGAGGTCTGCTGTGCCAAGTGGATCACCTCCTGGACGGGGATTGGAACTCATGTTGAAGTGGCTTTAGCCTCTCAGTGCTGCGCTTTAACCTTCTGCGCCACTAGGGAGGGTCCTCAACAGTGTTTTTTTAAAAAACAAAACAAACAAACCTATCACAGTTGGTAGGGCAAGACTAGAAAAGTACTTAACGAGATAGGATTGGGCCCACCCAACTGTAGCATGAGTTTGATGCCAACCAGGGAGGTGACTCACGTGGCGCAGCAGACCTTTCCTGTCTCGCCCTCTGATCCAGTGTACCTAGTCAGTTTTCCTGCTCTGATCCCCACTCTATCTCTGGTGAATCTTCTCACCGCCTCTACACCTCTGGTCTACACCCCAGTTCTGTATGCATAAATAAATAAAATCTTGAAAAAAGAGAGAGAGCAAGAGATAGGAATTGACTTCCCAATCCGAAAGTTTTTTTGTTTGTTTGTTTGTTTTTAATTTAGGAAACTGGTAGTCCCAAAGGATTTGCCAAAGGAATAACTGTTGACATTTGAAGACTACAATAAGGGTTCTGAAGGCATTGTTAGGTCACAGAAATCTGAATCTAAGATTACTTCAAAGCTTATGCTTTATCTTACACACTGAGTGCCTTATTGAAATGCTTTAAAAAAAATAACAAAAAACAGTGATCCCCATCTTTCTTCTACTGTGTTTTGTTTGTATTTAACTTACTATGTATTTTAAGTAGGTATCAGGGAGACAATACTGCTTTTATTTATATATGAAAACTTCCTTGAATAACTGAAAGCAACATTTTTTATCTCTACTGTGCAAAAAGTCCTTCTACAACTCAGCATTTCTGTCAAAGGCCCTGTATGTACCCATAAAAAAATGTTTAAATTTGGATTTTACTTAAGACAAAATGGAAAATCATATTCATACAGTTTGATTTTCCCTTTGTTCAGGAGCCATGCTGCAGCTCACATCAGACTAGGATTGGTAAAAGAAAGTTCCATCTGGAAACTTACTTGAAAATTTAAAAATGAATACAATTCATACATACAACAAAACTTTCCCCTTAATCCATAACTAGATGGATTCAGCAGTTCAGATGCATGAGAGTAGAACGAAGCATCATGGTAATGTCAGATTGGGGGGTCAAGCAACCCCAAACTGAAGTTTGTTTCTATAACCATGAAATTCATGGACTAGCCAAAATGTCACAGTTGATGTGTTCTCACCCATGCGCTTACAACTGCAGCCTGACATGACTCAGGCTCAGGGTTAAACAATAACAGGCTTTATTTACAAAGCTGAGAGATGTTGGGAGAAAGAGGAAAGAGTTAGGGGCAAGGCCAGAAGCAACAGCAATGGTTTGAAGGTTGGAGGTCGAAGGTCTAGAAGGTCACAAAGGTCTTGAGGGTCACGAAGGTCTCTATGAAGCTGTCTGCTTAGTGGCACCACACAATCAGGAACAGCAACCTGAAGGCCAGGCTGGACATCACCAGACATCAGACCAGTAAACACCAAAAGGCAGTAGGGGGTGGTGCTGGATAAGTCAAGGGCAGGGACCAGTGTTGTAGCCACACTAGGCAGAGAGCCAACAGCAACCAGCTCTTTCAGACACACCTAGCACAGGACTTGAGGGTGCCATTCAGCAGGTGGTGTCAGAGGCAGAGTTGGAGGTCAGCTTGCAAAGGCGTGGTGCCAGGGACTGGGTTCAGTTTTATAGCTCAACGAAGGAATCCAATGAATCTGACTCCCTCTCCAATTGCCTCTTCAAATCTCCAACTCTTTTTTTCTCCAGATATCCTTTTCTCCTCAAGCTCCTTCTATGCTGCCTGGAACCTCCACGGTGCCTCCCTTTCAAACCTGATTGATTGACTGGCACCCTTGAGAGCCCCAATCATATCGGTCCTCTTACAATCCTGTATTTGTGTAATTGAACATAAGGAGTTGAGGTGTTTCAAGGTTGGGGGGCTGCACTGAAGTCAGATCAGGCTCCTGGGGTGGGGGACTCCAAGGAACCATGGCCAGAGCTGGTCTCCGTGTGGCCAAAGGCAAACTATGCCCAATACCCTTCACCTGGGCTGGGTCTAATAATTTAGGGGCCCTGATTTTAGGTTCCAATTTCAGCTTCTACAACTTACTGTGTGACCCTGCGTAAGCAACTTAACATCTCCAAGCCTCAGTTTTCTTACTTGTAAAATGGAAATAAAATTCTGAAGGATTTTGGAGGTTAGAAATGCTTAAAATAGGGCTTCTAA